TCATAGGGGGCTGCTCCCACCTGGAATTGGACGGAGGGCAGAAGAAGTGGGTTTGTTTATTTGTGGCTACACGTAGGATATGCTCCCCTAAACATAACTCCCTCCTCGATTGGGATGACCTTAGAATAGCAGACGCTGCTGTTTGCTAGTTGTGAGATCCAGCCCCACCTTCGGATGGGTCCTAAGGGATGGTTGTGTCTTGATTAAAGGGAAGAAATGAAGAGACAGACAAAAGTTTGGGGGTGCTCACCTCCGTCATGGCTTCAGGAACCAGGTCCAAGCAGAGAGAGAGATTGTATTCTCATATCACCTTATATACTCCGGGGGCATGCAATCCCCCTAATTACAGGTCACCACATACATAACAAAGTGGGCTGCACCCTAACCCCAGATGTCCCTGAATTCATTGGAGGAGTGCCCTAACACCAGTGTTGGGGGCAGGTGAGGGGCCATGACCGTCCCCTGAGCAGGGAGAACAGTAGCAACGTGTCTGCTCCTACAGATCATGCTGCTGGCCAGAGAGCAATCAGCCATGTGCTTGTAAGAGGTCACTTTGAGGCAGCACTGTGATGGGAGGCTATTGTGGGGATTAATAATACTTATGAGAGTGGGATTGGGACTCATCTCTAACTCACAAGTGTGAAGGCCTCCCTCCACCCAGAACCCTGGCCTGCCAGACTTCTTAATTATGAGAATAAAGAATTTGTCTGCATATACTCTCACAGCTAGTGAGACAGTTTTGGCTGACAGAGCAGAACTTCCCCATGGGGTTTCCCAGGCAGCAGATCGCCAGGGATTGTCTCTGGAGGAGTCCCTGGGTGGACTTGAACTGCCAGCCTTCTGGTTAGCAGCTAGTCGAGCAATTAAACCATTGTACCACCCCAGGGCTCCTTTATCTACAGGAATGGGGGGTTAGGATTGCTGCACCTACTTTTTTAGGGGGTCATAATTCAACCCATAACACCCCTTTGAACAGTGATGCAGGTTACACGTTGGGCTGCTAACTTCAAGGTCAGCAGTTCGAAACCACCAGCCGCTCCTCGGGAGAAAGATGAGGCTTTCTACTCTCGTAAAGAGTTATAGTCTTGGAAACCCACAGGGGCAGTTCTCCCCAGTCCTACAGGGTCCCTATGAGGTGCCTTGGCACATATGTTGGGAACACACACACACACATTGAGAGCAAACCCCACTACCCCTGAGTCCGTTCTGACTCATAACCAACCTCCATGTAGTTTCTGAGACTACGTTTCTATGGGAATGGGAGCAGACAGTCTTCCTCTATCTGGCAGCATGGCGTGTGGGTTTTGAATCTCCAACCTTGTGGTTAGCAGCCTGATGCCCAATCCACAGTGCCACCAGGGCTCAGTGGGAAGCACCCTGTTGAGCGATTCCCTTATTCATCAGACCTCACCCAGTTCACACGTGTCAGGGCACCATTTCCCATGCTCGTAGCAGGGACCAGAAGTGACAAGATCTCAGTCCTTGAGAATCTCCTAGTTGGCATGGGGCAGCAGAGTAAGGGCGACTATGTTGATGAGAAGGATGGGTTGGCAGCTGGCTCCTTTCAGCACAACCAGACCCAGGAACTGTAAGTAGCAGCGAGGCTCTCTCCTGTGGATTGGCCTTAATCTCTCAGGATCCTCCAGGTGTGGAGACTACGAGAGAGGCAGTTCTGGAGTGTCATCCTCCTAGCCAATGTGGTTTCCCTTCAGCCACCGGGAAAGGATCCCATTGGCCCGTGCACTGCCTCCACAAATACCAGGAAAGGATCCCATTGGCCCGTGCATTCCCCCTGAAAACACTAGGAGAGGATTCCACTGGCACATGCATTTTCCTGGAAATACCAGGAAGAATTACACTTGCCCATTTCCCCTTGCTATTTGGAAATAATTCAGTTGGCCCATGCAGGCCCCCTTCCCCCCACCCCCCCTGCAAACAAACACACCCAATACCAGGTAGGAATTCAACTTGCCTTTGTGTTTTCTTCCAAAACATTGGGAAAGGATTTCACTGGTCCATGCTTTCTGCCCCTGTCCCCCTGTCCCCCAAAGCCAGCAAAAGACTCCATTGGCCCATGCATCTACCCCCCAAAGAACAGGAAAGAATTCCATTGGTCCATGCATTTCCACACCCACCCCGAAAAACAAACAAACAAACAAACAAAAAACCAGGCAGAGATTCTATTGGGCCACGTGTTTCTTTCCAAAATCCAAAAATCTCAGGACAGGATTTGATTGGCTCAGCCTGGGACACAAGCCCATTTCTAGGCCTATCTCTGTGATTTCTGGAATTGGGCTACGGCTGGCAGGGCCAAATGTTACCGTGGAGTTTCTGTCATAATGAGGCAGGCGTCAGCCTCTCTCAGCCACTGCCCCCCCGCCCCCCAAAACAAAACCAAACAAACCCGGGTCATCCAACCTCCCCTGATCTAGGCCAGCCAAGAGGCTCCACTCTCTGCCTTGCAGATCCGGGAGTGGGAGAAACGGCTCGGGACCCGTCAGAAGAGCGCCAAGGCCCCTGCCCTCATCATGGTCCAGAAGGTCAAGGTCCGGAGGCGTATCAAGATCCTGGAAGACCAGCTGGACAGGGTGAGGGCCAGACGCTCAGTTCTTTCCAGGACCTCACGGGTCTGGATGGGCCGGATGGGCCCGCCAATGAGAAGACTGATGGCTGGGTGTGTGTGTCGGGGGGAGGGGGGCTGCTGCTCAGGGGACACCCCCCCATTCCTGCTGAACAAGGAAGAGCCAGGCCTCAAGTGGGCTGCTGCCTCCTCAGGTCACCTGCCGCTTTGACACCCAGCTGATGCGGAACGCGACGCTGCGGGAGGAGCTGGACCTGCTTCGGATCGAGAGGAACCGCTATCTGAACATGGATCGCAAGCTGCATAAGGTCGGCCGAGCACCCTGGGGACCATCCCGCCCTCCCCGCTCTCTTTCCTACTCTGCCTCCCAGAGTCCCGAAGGCCCTGAGCCAAACGCTTCCAGGATAGAGACTCAGAAAATATGTCTGGACTCCTTCGACCATCTGATCTCTACTGGGATTTGCAGAGAACAGAGAGGGCCCTTAGACTCTTGTCACCCAAGGCCAACAGCTAGCCGGCAAGACGGTGTCCCTGCTAGGGCACTTCAGTGACCTCTGGTGTGCATGGAAGAAGCCCGTTTCTGCCCTTTCTACCTCCTTCCCTCTCTCTTTGTCTCCTGTTTCCCCTTCCTCTGTGCCATCCTCCCTGCCTCTCCCCCAGCTTCATTTTCTGCTTCTGTTTTGAATCATTTCGAGCACAGAAAAGCTGCTGGTGCTAGGCGCCGCTGAGTGGTTCCCATCCTAGCGAGTCCACGCACAACCACAGAACGAAACACTGCCCATCCTGCACCTCCCTTCCCATTGGGGCCGTGTCGGAGCCCATGGCTACAGCCACGATCTCCATTCATCTCTTCCAGGGTCTTCCCCTTTGTCACCAACCCTCTGCTTCACAAGCAAGCCGTCCTTCCCCGGGGACTGCTCTCTCCTGATAGCATGTCCAAAGGATGTGAGACGAAGGCTCACCATCCTCACCTCTAAGGGGCGTGCTCACGCTGCTACTTCCAACAGTTGGCTCTCCTGACAGTGCGTGGTACTTTCAGTATTCTTCACCGATGGCATAATTCAAAGACATCGATTCCTCTGCAGTCTTCCTTATTCATGGTTTAACTTAAAAAATTAAAAAAAAATCATTTTAGTGGGGGCTCTCACGGTTCTAGAACAATCTAAAAAAAAAGAACAATCTATACATCCATTGTATGAAGCACTTTTGTACATAGGTTGCTATCCTTGCTTTCAAAGCATTTTCTTTCTACTTGA